AAAGTCATTTGATTTATCCAAATATAAAGAAATACCTTAATAGTTTTGTTCATATAAAAACCTCATCATTAAACTATTAAATTTAATATCACATTCTATCAAAAGATCATCTAAAATGAAACAATTCTTTTTAGGCTCTGCTAAGAGCTGAAAAGTTACCTTTTTTTTTTATTTTTAATAAAAAGTTTGAACAAGTACTTTTATGTATTATTTACCTTGATCTGAAGTAAATGAATGGCTAAAAATTAGAGTGCTGTTTAACTTTCTTATTCTTCCACTGTATGCTACCCTTGTTCCATTCACTAGCCAATGAACTTCAGGGGTAGGATAGCCAAGGGCGCTACATTCTAAACGCAAAGTTTTTGCAGAAGGATATACAGTTGAAACAGGAGTAAAATTAAAATAAGGAGGAGTTTGTACTTCAACAAAATAGTCCTGAAATACAAAAATGAAGAAACTATTTTTGCAGTGATTCTTCAAAAGCGTACGTAGTACACAATTCAGTTAAAATATTTTTCGTAAGAATTGTTCAGACCAGGGTACATTTACCTGCCGTTTCCTTGAAACATTAAATTGGAAATTCAAATATTCAATTTTGTTGAGTTTTACAAATATTATATGTAAGTGGTTTAGGTATAATTTTAGGGTATCGAACTTTGCAGGTAACAATATCTTTAAGATACTTTATCTTCAAGTACTTAAATAATATTAGAAACCAGTTGGTTAGCACTTTCACCCCTTCCTCTATCAGGGTGGAGATTATGTTATAAATAGGCTGACACACTCATAAGAACAGAGAGACATCAAAAAAGAACAGAAAGTCATCAACAAAGAACAATAGTGACATCAAAAAAGAACAGAAAGACAATAAAAATAAGAACAATTAAGACAACAACAGACAACAATTAGTAGCATCAGTGTAATCATCAAGTTCAGGGTCTTCAATATATGTAGTAACTGTATATTTGTAAATAAATTCGTGTTATTCATCACTGAGGTAAATTATTTGCACTTACAATCCTTCCAAAAATTCGTGTGCTCCCTCATAGGAGAAAGAAGTGGAGCGGCAGCGCAAAATAAATAAAACAAGAATACTAAAAGTTCTTGGCCAGTAATTTATTGAAATTGCCAGACTGGATCTCATCAGTACGCGAAATAGATGGAGAGATTAAAAAACAAAGCTGTGTGACATCAAGATACAGCAGTGTTTCGCTATCTACTGATATCTGCTGATAATGAAAGTGTTTCAAAATACTTTTCATTCTAAATTCTTGTTTACCAGTTTTTTAATTGTTTAAATCTCAATAATGTTAACTTCATCCGTAAAAGTAACTCAACTCCACTTACGTCAAATCTACCTAATTTTACACAAATATATTTTGGTAAAATGATGAAATTATGGCTAGTATTAAAAACGCCTTTGGTTTGATATATATAAATAAAACGCTTATTAAATTTTAAACGTAATGTAGTCATCCGTTTCTAAAATAGCAACGACGGAAATTATAGGATACTGTAGTACACTTTCAGCGACCCCCTATAAAATATTACATGACAAAAACCGATCCCCGTCCCCTAAAACGATTTCTTGTTAATAAAATAGCAGTAAGAATGATTTTCTATCGCAATGAAAAATTTTAAGAACTGCAAAGTTAACAAAAATATTAAAATAAAATTGATGAACTGCGAACGTCACATTGTCTAACCCTCCACCCTTTGTTATATCTCCTCACGCTACGCAATATACCTCCCATCTTATTTGCGAACACATTTTAAGAATGACCCCTAAGTATTCTACTGTATAATTTATTAATTCAGTATCCTTTTTAAAATATATGTTGTAAAATAAAACCTAAATACTGGTATGCAAGGGAAGAAAAAGTTGGGAAAGAGCGAATATAAAGATAGGAGACGAAAAATTAGAAGAAGTGGCTGATTTTAGGTATCTAGGAAGTCAGATAAGTCAGGACGGAAAGAGTAGCAGGGGTATAAAGCAGAGGATAGCGCAGGGTCGAATCGCCTTCAATAAAAAGAAGTCACTTCTATGCTCGCGAACGGTTAATTTGGAAATTCGAAAAAGATTGTTAAAGGTATATGTTTGGAGAGCGGCGCTGTACGGATGCGAAACATGGACGGTGAGCGCGGAGTAAAAGGAAAGGTTAGAAGTGTTCGAAATGTGGTGTTACAATCGAATGATAAGAATACAGTTAAAAGAGAAGGTTAGAAATGAAGAGGTATTAGAAAGAACAGGAGAATAGAGGAATCTATGGAGGTCAATAAGATATAGACGAGATAGGTTGGTAGGACACCTTCTTGGGCATGAAGGTCTACGCAGAGACATATTACAGGCAGAAACGGGAGTTAGGAGGGGTAGAGATAGGCCTAGATTACCGTTCGCAAATTATGAACGATGTGGTTTGTTTTAGTTTTATGGAAATGCGAAGATTAGTGGAGGTGCGTGTCCATCCATTCTTAGGACTGACGACCTTATGATGATAAAATGAGCTTTTTACACAAATTGACTAATAATAATTGAAGGGAAAGGTTAGTTAGTTAGTGTAGTGAGGAATTACGGTCCTGTTGCGTATGAAGTGGGAGAAAATGTGTGTATGCGATAGTTATTTTTTTTTCACATTATTTCCCTTATTTAGTTAGTACGTCTGTCCCGTCTGCTATTTCTGAATATGCACCCGGGCCAAATATTAATTAATTTAATAAAAATCGACGGATCGTTAACCTTGCAGGTCGGTTGGTCGTGGTTGCTGTTGTCACCTCTCGTAGTTTAGTGGTAGAACATTGGTGCGTAAAGCCAAAGGTCCCGGGTTCGATTCCCGGCGACGGTGTGACAACAGCAACAATTTTTCCCTCATTAATTTGAGGTAGTTTGTAGTGGGTAAATAAAAAATCGAAAAAATGATTTCAAATTAATATTGCA